CTTTGACATTGACATCTAGAAATCTTCTTAACTGGCTGTCCTCTGAGCTCAGAAACTGGTTTATAATTTGCTCCAACTATTAGCCTTGTTTTTCTTTTTGTTTCCATAGAAATGTTTCTTATTTAATACCTGATTGCTTGCTTCCACAATATAGGCCTAATTTTGGGAGCCCACCTGCATCACCGCCTCCTGAAATGAATTTAACTGGACTGATCTATTATCAGGACTGAAAACATGTTCAGTGAGATGAAACAATCTACCACTCAGCTTCTGGACTACAAAACTTCTTAAAGTTTCAAAGGACTGTGAAACTTCTTAAAGTTTCAAAGGTAAGACTATGGGAGATCAGAACTGGCCACCCCAAAATGTGTCTCTTTGCCTTGATTTTTCTTAGGAAGAAAAGACTCTGAAAGAAACTGACCTCCCCCTAAAACTGCCTAAAGGAATTTAAAATAGAAGGGCCTGTTCCAGGAAGGAGCTAATACCTTAAGACAACTGTAATGTAATGTACAACATGTTTCTCAGGTCACATTGTCTGCAGTTGGTCCATTTACACTTCCATCTCCATGTAAATTGCCTTCCACTCCCTTGAAGTCCCAAACCACTACCCCCAACATCCTCCTTTGTCTTTAGCTGTGGATGGTATTTAAGATGAGAACCTCCACCATTTTCGTGCGTTACTCAGTTTGCCTGAGTCTGTCCCACGTATACATGTTACAAAGCTTTGTTTAATTTTCTCCCGTTATTCTGTCTCATGTGAATTTAATTCATAGCACAGCCAGAAAGACCCAGAGGGTAAAGGATTTGTCTTCTTCCCCCACAGAAGAGAATTGCATTGGGTTGACCAGGGAGTCACCTCCTCTGCTGGTGTCAGCCTCAGCTCTGCTTGAGAAGGTGACTGCCTGGCTGTGCAGCTCACTGGGCAGACCTCACCCCAGTGGGGAGTGGGGCCCCAGACTCCTCATGTTAAGGGAAGAAGGAAACCAGACCTCACTTCAAGGCTGTCCCTGGTGGTGAGGAGAAGAGAAAACCTGCTGTGTGGGGAGCTTGGGGATGTTTATTCTGGAAAAGAGGAGTCTGAGGTCAAAGAAAGCTATCTTCAAATATCTGAAGTTCTGTGTAGGAATGTTTTAATTTAACCCATCTCACTCCAAAAGGGAGAATAATGTCCTAATGTGTGGAAAATTGTGGGAGGTGAATCCTGACACAATATGAGGATGCTCTTTTCAGCAATCAGTAAGTCTAACATGGAATGAGCTCACCTGACACAGGAAGCATTTGTGTGTAACTATTTGGGACAAACATTATTGAGGATTTAACCATCAAATTGTGCTGTTCTGATGTCCTCTGAGGTCCCTTCCACCCAGGAGTTTCTACAAGTCCACAGTTCTGGGTCAAGGCAGATCTCCTGCTGCTGTGCCTGACCACAGAGCCCTATGCCCAATGACCTGGCAGTGATGCAGATGGACAGAAGCAAACTGAAGAGGACAATGGCGAGGGCAAGATGAGGGATGGGACAGAGAGGAAGGAAAAAAGTCTGAAAGGGAGGGAGGGAGTGAAGAATGTCTTGTCAATGACTACTGACGATAGTGGGCCACTTGTCTGGGTGTCCTGCTCATCAGCTCTCTGACTTGGGTATAGTCACCAATTTACAGAAGTTAGGAGCCTGCCCAGTGAAATAGATGCTCTAGGGCAAGGCTGGACCACTCTCCAGCTGTGTGGACTGTCCCCTCCTGGTCCCACCTGGCCTGCTGCCATTAACCCTGTAAGCTGCCTAGAGAACAGAAAACAGACATCACTGTGAAACAATCTACTTTCCATCATCTTTGCCTCATGTCAACTTCAACTTACCCAAGGGGCCGCACTGCCCAGAGACTGCGTTGTGCATTTTCACTGTGACGGCTATCTACGCGTCATGTCAGAAATCATCCTGCATAACACTTGGTCACAAAACCTCCTCTCCTTTGCTGATGGATCACGTGCTCCTGGCCTGTTGTCCTCCAAGTACTTGATGTCTGGCTCGTCATTGGGTAGGATTCATGAGTTCTAACTGCCCACCTGAAGTGCTTCCTCTGGTAGGGGCAGCTGAGAAAGTTCGGACACAACTGGCCTTCCTCGGTGCCACCAGAAGACACATCTTTGGGACAATATTTATTCACATTACAAAGGAACCTGAAAGAAGATTGAGAAATACTTCTGAAATTAATTGCAATGAATCATCCGATTATATGGATTAAGTGAGCATTTGGCATTGGATCCCATTATCCTCTTGTCACGCTTCTGCCTATGTAAGCACCCCCAACAGACGAAGAGGTAAGTGAATGAGAGACCAGATTCAAATTGCAAGCACTGACTGAGCTGCATCACTGAGTTCCCCTCCCTCTGTGGTTTCTTCCCTCCAGCTGCTCTCCATCTGTGTGGCTCTTCAGTAGAGTCGAGTCTGTCACCTAAGGAGGATGGATTTTATGGCAGCCATGCTGTGGGCTTTGCTCCTGTGCTGGTACATCCACAGAAAAGTCTTGAATGACTGGGCAAACCGATTGCTGTAAGTGATCTGAGGTCTTGGCTTCTCCTTATCTGATCATTTACTATAAGTAATTCATTGTGAATTTCAACATCGTTTCTCCTTGGCAATGACACTCTTCTTACCTCTCACTTGGTCCCTCTTGCTCATGGCATGAAGATCTGGTGTCTTGAAATGGAACATGTCAATGAGTCAAATCCACGGTGCAGGTGTTTGTCAAATTTCCTGGTAAGAGGCAGTCAGGACCACCCCTGGGCCCCTGGCATTGGAGGCCAGGCTTATGACCATGGCCACTTTTTAACTCGCCCACTCCCACAGCACTTCCGGTGAGTGACAGAAGGCAGGGGCACTGTGGGGGCACCCTTGCCTCAGGTTCTGACTCATCCTTAACTGGGTGGCTGACACTGAGGAAGTCCCTAAATGGCTCTGATCCTCGGTGTCCTCATCTATAAAATGGGAGTGCTCACATCCACCACACAGGGATTTCTACAGATTACAGGAGAGAAGTCACGCGGACGCAGCCTGGAACAGAGCACACGCTCAGCAGACGTGAGCATCCTTCTTTCCTCCCTCCTCCCCATCATGCTCTCTGGCACTCACTGGTCCTTCTCTTGTTTCTGCCGTTAGCATTGGAGTCTGAAAAAAGGCTGGAGGTGGAGGTCATGGTGCTAAGACCAAAGCCACAAAGGATCGTGTTTGACTCCTAGGAGAAACCAATGATCACCTCAGTCTCCCCAAGTCAGCCATGGCAACACTACAAAGCTCTGTCATGTGATGGGTGTCACGTCAAAGAGGAAGGAATCTTGGTACTGGTAGTTCCACAGGGGAGAACGAGGTCCAGCAAGTGGAGACAGCACATGGACAGGCACTGGTGTTACAGAAGATGGAATTTTTCTATCAGTTAGAAATGTCAGACACTGAAGCTGGCAGCCTCCCAGGATGAGTGGCTGTGTGTGGAGGATCTTGTCAAGGGATCCGCGCATTGACCGAGTTTGGACCAGCTGACAGTTGGTCCCTGAGGATTGTTCCCAACTGGGGGATAATGTCCATGGTGCTCAGCACACTTGTTCAGTTGGCTAAATCACACTGCAGAATTGCAGACAGCAACTTTTAAAGCAGTGTTAGGTCTTGCGGAGTTCTGGCATTCTTTGAAGATTATTGTAAGAGACGATGATGATTTAGGGCAAACAAAAGACAGACCAAAAAACTTCAAAGGAAAGAGGAATAGGGTATCCACAGTGGTTGTTGAAAAGCTCCAACTTATTCTGGGGGATCTAGAGAGAGCAGGTTTTTGTTGGGGCTTTTTGTTGTTGTTGCTGAGGAAGATTTGCCCTAAGCTAACGTCCATTGGCAATCTTCCTCTTTTTATATGTGAGCTGTCACCACAGCATGGCCACTAACAGACAAATGGTGTCGGTCCATGCCCAGGAACCAAACCCAAGCCGTTGAAGCCTAGTGCACTGAATTTAACCACCAGGCCACTGTGGCTGGCCCTGGGGATTTTGATGTCTGTGCCCATTCATATTTCTGGCTTGCCAGCTTCTCCAGCATCCAGTCTGGGTTATGTGAGGCAGAAAGAAGAGTCATCACTCTTTAGACCCAGCGGACCCTAGCCAGTCTGCCTCCTTTCCACTGCTCAGTCTTCGTACTACTGTTTTATGCACAGTGTCCGGGGTGTTGAGCTGTACTCAGTGGGAAGAATAAGAAAAAGTACATTGACTCCATTTTTCCTGAAGTGGAAGTTAAAGGGATATTTTTCTTGCTTGACATTGCCTTATCTTTTTGCTAGTTGGCATTATTTATCTGCCTTTTATTTTATTAATGATTTTTCCTTTTTATTTGAAAAATATCTCTGCATCTGGAGAGCGTTTGAGCAGAGAATGAGAACGCATCTCCAGGTTCATGGCCACACCCAGCCACTGCCTTGTCTCTCCACAAATCCTTCCTGTTATCCAAGATGGCTAAGAATGAGTCACAGCTTCCCGGGAATCTGGCATTTCAGTCTGTGATGGTTCAGAACCTTATAAGCTGAGACCCTATTCACCGTGGCCTACCACCTTGGCCTTGGCTAGTCCCAGTACAACCAGAAATTTAAATAGTCAACGGGTACAATTGCATGGATGAGCTTTGTAACTCCAAGTTTTATGCCACAAATACTCCCCCAAACTATTGATCCTATAGAGTCAGAACCCATTCTCTTAGCAGATGGCAAACTGGGGCTGGCATGGCAGAGGTCCTCCCATTCTGATGTCAGCGAGCAGAGCACCCACGTGAGCCAGGCAAAGGCTCAGAACAGGTTGACGGGGTCCCAAAAGGTGCCCTAATTCTTGTGGGGTTTTTTTTTTTTAATTACACTTTTTGTTAAGGGAGATTGGCCCTGAGCTAACATCTATTGCCAATCTGCCTCTTTCTCTTTTTTTCTCCCCAAAGCCCCAGTAGGTAGTTGTACATCCTAATTGTAAGTCCTTCCAGTTCTTCTCTGTGTGATGCTGCCACAACATGGCTTGATGAGCGGTGTGTAGGTCAGAGCCAAGAAACAGAAGCCGGGAACCCGTGCCACCGAAGTAGAGCGCACGAACCTAACCACTCAGCCAAGGGGGCCAGTCCCAATTCTTGCTTTTTAATGAAAACAGAAGCTTGCAGCTGAAGCAGGAAGGAGGGCTCACTACTCTTAGACCCATGCTATTATCCCCGCTGACTACTGAACAGAAAAAAAAAATAGGAAAGAAAACTGGATTAAATGTTTGGTAGTTTTTTATGCAGAGATATCAACAGGCTACCTTCCCTACATGGCAGCTTCCCACCACAGTCAGGATCCTTTTGGCCACCAGGAAAGATGGTTTGCCTGTTTCTCTTGTGATTGGATACACCCAGCACCATCCCACAGAGGCGCCTCGATCAAAGGCAGAAATATCTAGGATGAAAAGACAGCAGAATGGAAACACTCCTGCCTGTTCCCCACTTGACTGATGTGTGTGTCGAGCATTCTATTCTTTCCTTACAAGTGGGTCAAAGGAAGGACACTTCAGGGTTGACGGGCAAGAATGCCAGATTGGCATTCTTTAAAAAGCAGAATCCTAAAATCCAGAAAAAAATCAGAATGAGCAGCCACAGCGTGCCCCCTAGGTGTACTCACTGTGGTTGGTAACACGAGCCCAGAGATAGCGATGTGCAAACCACCTTGAACCCACATGGGAGCTCTGACCCAAGACCATGATTCACATTCTACCCGGCAAGCGAAGCCAAGTGCGTGTGCATTCTCTGTAGAGTTCAGAGAAGAGAGGTTGACTCTATGGGTGAGATAGGAATATATTAATTTCCTGGACACTCGGTTTCCTAGAGAAAGATTAACCGGTCTGCGATATGCGAAAGCTCTCGGATTTCTCGCCAGTGGGGTACAGAGGAAGGATTGTTTGAAGTGCTGGTGTGAGGTGGCGACGGACTCGGAGAGAGCGATGTTACAATAAACACAGCATCCCGCCCTGTTGCTTGCTTAGGGCATTTCAGGAGAGCAGCAGGACGCACGCCGCTGGAGGAGGGCACGGCTGGAAGTCAGCCTGACCAAGGAAAGGTCTGGACCCAAGGCTGGTTGCTTTCTAAGGTAAACTCACTCTCACCCTTTGACTTTTGGTCAAGAGTTGCGCTGAGCTGGCCACAGCCTCTCTCAGCCCCATTTGTAGCAGAGCAAAGAAGAGCATCAGGACTTCTGCCTCCGGTCACAATGCCAACTGTCGATGACATTCTAGAGCACATAGGGGAGTTTAACTTTTTCCAGAAACAAACGTTTTTCCTCTTAGCTCTGATCTCTGTGGCTTTCACCCCCATCTATGTGGGCATTGTCTTCCTGGGCTTCACCCCAGACCACCGCTGCCTGAGCCCTGGGGTGGTCGAGCTGAGCCGGCGATGCGGCTGGAGCTTGGCCGAGGAGCTGAACTACACGGTGCCAGGCCCGGGGCCGGCAGGCGAGCCCTTCCCCGGCCAGTGCCGCCGCTACGAGGTGGACTGGAACCAGAGCGCCCTCAGCTGCGAGGACCCGCTGGCCAGCCTGGCGGCCAACAGGAGCCACCTGCCACTGGGCCCCTGTCAGCATGGCTGGGTGTACGACACGCTGGGCTCCTCCATCGTAACAGAGGTAAGTGAGCGTCAGACATAGAGATCCAAAAGGCAAATAGGGCAGCTTTTCTTAAGGAAGAAGCCAGTAGAGCCTGGTTCTTATACTGTGCCTGGCACACTCTTTAGACTCACAGTATCTTATATAATCCTACTTTCCAACAAAAACATGCAGCCTCTTATTTTCCTGGAGTATGAGTGGATTAGTTAAAATGTTATCAAATTCTGACAACAATGGTTCTCATATACGCAAGTCTCAGCAGTAAGAAACAAGCAAGAGCACATCAGAATTCCTGCAGAGAAGGCAGAGAAGGACAATTGTCAAACTTCCTTTTTTTTATGGGAACCCTATGCCCCCTCCATCCTTCCACCATACAGCCGGGCGCCTGAAATTTCATGGAATTCACCCAAACAGTGCCTTACTGTAATATAATGAACTTTCCTCTTAATGGCTTTTTTCTCTTTAATTTGCTCAAAGTCTCCATATAAAACCCTCTGGGGTTGGAGCTCATGCAATGGTACTATTATTTTATTAAAAACTAGAGTCAATATTAACATCTAATTGTGAAGCCTCATTTCCATAAATAGAAAAAAAATGGAGATTTGCTTTTATTGGAGGCAAAGCAAAATGGAGGGATGAAATTATTCTGAAGATCTAGAGAAAACCAGCTGCCTAGCTTAATGTAGGAGGACTGCTTAGATAAGGTGAAGATATTCTCTATGAACAGACATTTAGAGGGAGGAAACCTTTGTAGAGAATTAAGTGTTACATAGCTATGTAAAAGAAGGTCATAGATTTAACACCAGACAACTTTAAGAGGCTTTACGGCATGGCTAATCTCATCCCTTCCTACAGAGGTGAGGAAACTGAGGCCCAGAGCTGAGAAAAATTTTGCCAAAAGCCATAGAGTGAGAATTAGCTGTTAGCCTGGAAACCGGATCTCCTGACTTCCGGGCCAGCACCTGTTGCTCCTTCAACCCTGCCTCTTGTTCCAAATGGAGCAAATGAAACAGCCTATTTAGCAAGACACCGCTGCTATTAAAGAGACAGCAAAGAGACGATGAACAGCCCAGCCTGCTCCGAGCAGCATTTGTATCCCGTTTGCACACCTATTTGCCTCTGCGTACTAAAATTAGTAAGAAAAAATGATTTGGGGCATAAATGGAGTAATGACCCATTTCTTCTGAGTTTGGCCTAGTGACATACTGCCAGATGGAACACTAAAGAGACTGCGGGACAAATGTTTTTGTTGTGTAAAGAAAATTAATACCAGCAGGAAAGTTGGTTTATTGCCATCCAGCCATATCAGTTCAATATAAGGAATATTTAATGGGTTCCCTGGGCTGAGTTATGTCTAACAGGATTTTATTTCCTTCCCCTGGTGATTTGGCCCCTTGGCAGTTTAACCTAGTGTGTGCCAACTCCTGGATGCTGGACCTGTTTCAGTCGGCTGTGAATGTGGGATTTTTCATCGGTTCTATGGGTATTGGCTACATAGCGGACAGGTAGGTGCGGCTGAGAGGTGTGGAATTTAAACAGCCCCGAACGGTCAGACGCACTTGGCGTCACCTGCCCCTGCTTGAATACCATCATTTCCTGAAACATGAAGACCACAATTTCCTGGGCCAATTTCTTAGGGTTGTCTTGACAATCGTAGAGATCTGTTGCTGCTTCAGTAATCATGATTGATATCTTTGTTCTCCAAGTTTCTGGGGTCGTAGAGGGATGTTTCAGCATTAGACAGAAGTTTTTACTTGTGGGCTATGCAGAAGCTTAGGGTGAGAAGGGACAGTAATAGACAATTTGATCCCTTTGGTAATTCCCAATGTGTTCTTTGGCCTCATCACCATCCACGTGGTCATGAGCCTTCACGGTCTCTGAGCTCCGTCCTGTCCTCTGCCTGCCTCTTCTATACCCAGCGCCAGCCTAGATTCTCCTCGCTGTCCTCCTTACCTCGCAGCCCAGGGGACTGCAGAATTCCAGAATCAGGGCCCTGGGGCCAGATATAATTATATGTATGGAACCTAGATTATAATTTGATGGAAGGGAAACAGGGTCAGTCTACACTGAGAGAGGTAAAAATCCACTTGCATAATGTCAGTGTCCCTGGAGAGAGATCAGGAAAAACCCTTCCACATGGAACGTACAGCGAATGGTCCTCTCAGATGGGTCTATGTCTTCCATGGCTCGTACTAATCCAGCTATCCTGATGTCTTTTATTTATCCATCATTTTGTAATTAATCACATCAGCACATCAACTTGTGCTGAAAGTTCCTTATAGCATGCATCTTTACTCTGTTGATGACCAATTAGACATTTTTAGGAGTCCTCAAAAGGGAAAGGAAGAGAAAAATTTACTTTATACTTGATAAGCACTTTAGAGAACTTGGCCATCAGGGTTCATTTTTTAATACTCATAATACCAATTGTTTATTGAGTATTTTCCACATGCCAGCCACTGTGCTCAACATTTTGGACGGCGTCATTCTCTCTAAATCATCAGTCACCTAGTGAGATAGTGATATATAACTATATCCTACATATATATATCATCTAATTTATTTCACATATTTATAATTCATTACAAAATATATATTTATTCTGAAATAAATGGTAAAGTAAACACACTTTATGCTTTTTGCCCTCCCCAACTGTATCTATGATATAGATAAACCCAAACCTGTGAGTATAATATTAAATGTGAATGGAATATTTTTCTGATTATATTGTGTTATCAGGCTGGATTAAAACCTTCGAATGTGTTCAAGATTAATAACGGTGTCTTAGTCTATCACTCCTCCCAGGGGCATCTGCATTTTCACAGCCCGGGGCCCACTTTGTGTGGGAGGCTTGTGAGGTGAAGAGGAAGGTCATAGGCTTTTATTTTTATTGCCAAAGAACTAGGGACAGTGGTTTGGAGATGCCCCCTTACGTTGCCGGGAGAGACACACTGACAAGCGAGATCCAGAGTCCAGTGTGTGGCTGCCTGGCCCCACTGGCTCCTCGCTTCGTCTCACTCCCTCCTTCACCATAAGGTGCAGACACTAACACTCAACTCGCCAGGATGGAAGTGAGTAAATAGGTGACCGAGCCTCACAGCTGGTTAAATAAACAAGTTAATTATTCTCATTCCACTCGTTGTTATAATCCCACAGATTATAATGCCCTCCTGACTGTGCATTCCTGACTTACCATCCCCAGTCAATTATCCACCTTCTTAGATGACCTCGTTATTTTGTTCCTATTGTTGACATCGCCAGTGTAAAGTTCGTTACTTATTATTCTCCACCAAAAATCTATGTACGTACCTCTGTTTCTTGTTCTTAAACTGTCTGAAGATTTATTCATTGTTGCCCCTTCTTCTGTTCTATTTGTGTGTGCACATAAGAGTGTGCAATAAGATAACCACCACAGAGTGAAAAAAAAAAGGCAACTTATCTTTTCCATACTTAATGCCTGTTTCTGAACAATTTTCAGATTTTATGCAATGGGACAAGAGTCTCACGGAAACCCATCTTATGCTACAGGTTAAACCAACATTAAATAAAAGAGATTGTCTTCTTGAAAAATTTAAAAAATATGACCTAAGGACTGATGAGAGTATCTTTTACAAGAAATCCAGGGGGACATTATGAAAGGATTGTAAATAAGAATACTGAGGGCCAGTCCAGTGGCACAGTGGTCAAGTTTGCACACTCCACTTCAGTGGCCCGGGGTTTGGATCTGGGGCACAGACCTACACACTGCTCATCCAGCCATGCTTCCTAATCCTTTAGCTTCCTAATCCTTTTGTATGTGGCAGCATCCCACTTACAAAATAGAGGAATATTGGCACAGATGTTAGCTCAGTGAGGATCTTCTTCAAGCAAAAAGAGGAAGCTTGGCAACAGATGTTAGCTCAAGGCCAATCTTCCTCACACACACAAAAATAATAATACTGAGTCTTACACCAAGTCAACTTTCTGAAGATCAGCTTTACAAATGGAAGGAGGGAAGCAAGGGAGGGAGGGAGGAAAGAAGGAAGAGAAGAAGGGAGGTAGGAGAAGCCATGGAGAAGGAGAAAAACATATATTAGAGAACTTGAAAATAAACTTTTTATATCGAATTTATTTCATCATCCAAATCTCCTAAAGAATTATTTTGAGTATTACGTGACGCAAAAAAGTCCTCTCTCGTCAATTCCAGGCTTTTTAGTCTAGTAATCAGTGATGATAAGTGCTGTATTTAGTGGCAGGCTTAATTATTTAACAACTGGCCTTCTTAGGAAAAGAGCCCTGATTTGTAGCATTTGCTGATTTTAGCGGTGTAGATACTTCCAAGGTGGTCCATTTCAAGCAACCACAGCAAGGTCACTGAACACAGAGTTGACTAGAAATATGCACCATTGTATGGTATTTCTACTATACAGATACAACAGATAGACATAAATAACCTCATGAGCATAGAAAGTGGTCAAACACTGTAAGGCAATTAGGAAGCTATGTTTTACCTATTTATTACGCTTGTTTTTAATGCACTTTACTGAATCGTAAGTGTATCATTTAATTTTTAATAATGGCTGTGTTTAACAATTAGCTCGAAAATTTTCTAAAAGCCTGACGGTCACTCTCGAGGGCCAGCATCCCACTGTCTATATTTCAGGATGGAACTAGGTCAGAGCAGAGTCAAAGTCCCAGTGGGTCACAGTCAAACTTACCCAACCAAGTGCAATATTTCACAACAAGGGCTCCACTCCCTGCCCTGTGCCTGTCACTGTATTGAACACCCTCGTGTGTTATATTCCATTTAGGATCATAACAGCCTTTAAAAGGAGATTTCATTATCTCCATTTGCAGATGAGCATGCTGAGGCTCAAGGACAAGAGAGCAGTGTCTCCCAAATGTCAACGTGCATATAAACCACCTGGGGATCTTGCTAGAATTCCAATTCTAATCCAGTGGGTCTGGAGTGGGCCTGAGAGTCAGCAGGTCTGCCCCTCCCAGGTGGTGCTGGCAGCCCCGGGCCACGTGCTGAGTAACAAGTAGCTAAAGGATTCAGAAAGCCAGCAGCCCTGGGGTCCACACCCCTCTGCTACTTTATCTCTTCATTTTCATTTAACCATTTCAGTGGTTCTTTGGGGGTGGGAGGAAATCATCGCCAACCACTATCCCATATTTCCAAAATTTCTTCTAGCCCTGCCTTATTTTTTAAATAGTATTGTCTCCTTATTTGCGACCTATCCCCCAGTGAAGTTTTTCTGCATTGCAGATTTGATTTTCTGAAGGTTTTTCACGCTCTGAGTTTCACGTGGTGAATACTCCCCCTCATCAGCCCCGGGATTTTGTCCCCCTACAGGAGCGCGACTGGGGTGTTTATGGTAGGCCCACGGCAGCTTTGGAAGCTGGACAATCAGCACTTGAGCACAGGTTTATAGACTCGTTGAGGGTAAAGGAAGGGTTTGGGTAGGAGAATGTGGGAAGAAAGCTAAAACATCATGTCGAGATGTGAGTTGAGAAAGCTTTGAATAAAAGGCCAAGGGGTATATGGTTACAATGGGGAACCATTGACTGAGAATCAAGAAATGACGTGGTCAAAACAGGGTTTTTTTTGTTAATAATTTTATTTATTTATTTATTTTATTTGTTTAAAAGATTGACACCTGAGTGAACAACTGTTGCCAATCTTTTTTTTTTTTCCTGCTTTTTCTCCCCAAATCCTCCCAGTATATAGTTGTATATTTTAGTTGTGGGTTCTTCTAGTTGTGGCACATGGGACGCTGCCCCAACATGGCCTAACGAGCAGTGCCATGTCCACGCCCAGGATCCGAACCAGCGAAACCCTGGGCCGCCGAAGTGGAGCGCGCGAACTTAACTACTCAGCCACAGGGCCAACCCCAAAACAGGGTTTTAAGAAGTTTAGTGGTTTACATTAATTACTAATGAGACTGATTGATCTTTAATTTCAGATTTAAAGCATTAATATTCCCAAATAATTATTAACGATGTTGTGGATTATTTTCAAATGGCCGGTTAATATTGAAATAGTCCCTGGAACATAGTTGCCTAATAGGAAGGGCAGCAATTAAAAAATGTCTGGCCACCATTGAATGTGCCATGCTTGTGCCATAAAACACTAGAGACTACTCAGTTTTAAGTGGATAAGCAAAAATTAAATAAACATTGCTATCTATGAAGAATTTTTTAAATATCCACTAACAACCGGTTAGGGTATCTTCAAACCGGAGGAATATGATGAAAATGTGAAAATAAAAATATTGAGCCCCAAGTCAGCTTTCAGAGAGCCAGCTTTGCAAATAGAAGGAAGGCAGGGAAGGAGGGGGAGAGGAGGGCTATGTGCCAAGCTCTTTACATGAATATCTCACTTAATCCTCTTGTCAACTGGGTCAGAGAGGTCTTTTCCAGATGAAGAAATTGAGAAAGGTTGAATAACACACCCAACCTCATAGCAAGCAGTAAGGCCAAGGTCAAAGCCAGGTTTGCAACTTTCCCCCTACCCCACGTACTGAGACACTCTCCAGGTCCCTAAACTGATGAAACCCAAGTCCCTCAAATAAAATGCGTGGAAGCTATCTGGCTAGGGTACTCCTTAACAAAGGCCCTATATGAGATGGCAATGTGCGAAGTGATGACCGCACGACACAGAAGACGAATTCCATGAAGATACGCAAATCCCACAAAATCCAAAAGCGGTGTTGGAAATGGATGGGGGACTACATTCAACACTGAATTTTGTTTTTTCTAAAGCAAAAACTCTTGGGTGGTCAGTTGGTTGAGGCTGTCAGTGCAAAGGCGCCAGCTCACACGATGATGGAAGATCTAGACAGGCCCTTAGGGCATTCAGCACTGGGTGGCCTGGAAGAATCACCCTATTCATGGATACCCTTCACAGGGTGGGACTGAGAAGGTACTGTAGCCCTGGGGTGAGTGGGGCTCATTGTGCTTAAAATTTATACATGGTGCACTGAGGAAAAGTCCTGAATGGAACTGACCTGGAGTCAGGGATCCTCTTGGTGGCTATCAATCTGTGCCTCCTGAATTTCCGTAATTCAGGGTTAACTTCCACTTTAGTTTAGCTTTCCATGACTTCTATGAATTTTCTGCAACCTTCCTGAATCTGATCTAATTCTCCTCCCTCTCTCTGGTTTTCTTCTTGCAGGTTTGGCCGTAAGCTCTGCCTCTTGATTACAATCCTCATAAATGCTGCATCCGGAGTTCTCATGGCCATCTCCCCAACCTACACACTGACGTTAATTTTTCGCTTGATCCAAGGACTGGTCAGCAAGGCAGGCTGGTTAATAAGCTACATCCTGAGTAAGAATGCTTGTGAACGCAGCTGTGAGAACAAAGGGACATTGCTGCCAAAATACAGTCAGATGGGGGGAGCTGTGCAGAAACAGACTCAGCTTCAAGGCAATGTTGAGAGATTTCTTTTTATGTATCAAAACAATTTCTAAAATCTTTTCAATCAGCGCATTCTGCATTCCTCCTATAAAGAAAACAATGAAGGCAGAAATGAGGCAAAACATCATGCCATCCAGATTCTTACATAACTCTTTAGGAATTTTTTGTTTTCTCTACCCTGGGGTGTTACACAGAGAGAGAATCTAGCCTATCAGGCTGATACATAAAGAAAATTCAATGATGAGAGATATATTAGATTTATGAGACTTTATTACTTTGCATAAATCCATTGTAGTAAACCACACTTATCGTCAATTTATAGACAAGGAAACTGAGAATACAAGTCTTGTGGTCAATCCAAGATCCTCGGCAAGCCATTTGTAGGACCAGCAATGCCATTTACATCCTACTCATTAGTAGCCAGTTACGCTTAACCTCCGTGGAGTATAGGAGAATATTTGAATTCTAACAGCACAGCATCTTTAAAGCAATATCAAGAAAAATTACCACCATAATTAGATTATGGGAATTAACTCCATCAAAACTTTCCCTTTGGCTATGTTCAAATAGCATCCATACAAAGGGAAATGGACACTGAAATTAAAAGAAGAATAATAAAGCTCTCATTACACATTAGAGAACTGGAATATGTGTGCTTAAAATTTTACCTGATAAAGTTAATTTGGGGAATTCTGAAACAAAGAGGAGGTGGTGCTTAATACTATTAGGTGCCTGTCATGGTAGGTACCTAATCTATATTTGCTCAAAAGGAATTAATGTATGTGGTTATTCCATCAGTAATTTGGTTTCTAGAACACATAATATGAAGAAATATGTGGAATTTAATTGTATAAATTTAAATTTCAGCCTCCTCCCATTAATTTCTTCTCTAGTCCCTCTGAATGGCCTTGATGTACACCTTGCAACCCTACTTCTTTCTAGCCTACCCCCTATAAACCTCGTCCATGACCCCAACCACTTCCAAAGACAGAAATTTCTATTTAATGAGCACTTACGTAATTTTTGTTTAGCTCTGTTTTAAAATACATTGGGATAATTTGCAGTAATTTACAGAAATATTTTTAGGGCACATTTCTGTTTGGTTTATAAATAGTTGAAGTCTTTAACATGATTACCAAACATTTAAAGCAAAAACTCTGTGGCTCATGGAATATCTGGAATTTCAATTCTAGTATGTTTGCAATATAAAAATGACTATTCCCTAAGCCCATGTACCACAGACTTCATACATCTGTCATGATGTAGTCATGAGATGGGATAAAGCTGGTTATTCTGCCATGTGTGCTGGTATGCCAATAAACTGGCTCTGGGAAAATAAAAAGCCATGATTTATAGTGTTTTCCAGTTTCTAAGTTGTAAATCCCCCCACCATGACTGATTTTAGGATACCAATGGGTTTAACAAGCAGCTTGCAAAATTCCTGAAAATGTAAAAATCGGTTCCTGCAAGCTACAGTCAGCTAGGAAACCCGTTGCTGGGTTTTCAAACCGTTTTACACACATTAACAGGATTACCAAGAAAATGCTTAACTCATGGAAGAGGACAAGTTGTATTGAGGTATTCATTTACATAAAAATCATCTACAATCTAAATTCAGTGTTTGGTTCAGTTTTTCAGGTCTTAAATCACCACTGCCTTATTACTCTAGATCAAAATTTTGCATGGATCTGAAATATAATTGCATTTGTCCTTGAAATTATTCTCTAAATCAAACATTTTGCTCATATTGGCACGTTTCACCACATCTAATGTGGGATTATAAGACTTATTAATTAACACAAGAGCAATAATTATAACCAAATAGGTCCCAACGAATGTTTTAAAATTTTCGGAGAGCTTCATAGAAAGTTCTAGAATTTGGACTACTTTTTTGAGGTTAGCATTCTAGTTTTGCCGTAATTGGACAACCAATGCACTGCTGTTGACCATTTGGGTTCTCTCTGCAGTTACAGAATTTGTCGGGCTGCAATATCGGAGAACAGTGGGGATTTTTTACCAAGTCGCCTTTACCTTTGGGCTCCTGATCCTTGCTGGGGTGGCATACTTGCTTCCTCACTGGAGGTGGCTGCAGTTGACGGTTACTCTGCCCAACTTCTGCTTCTTGTTCTACTATTGGTAAGTCCATTTGGAACAAAAAGGAGATAAATTGCAATATTTTATTTCGATAAAAGGCTGCCTTCGCTAGCACACACCATCCTTCCGAATTGTAAGTTTTCCTTCACTCTCCAGGCCTGTTTCACAGGAAGCCCAGGTCCACGTTTCAGGAATAAAATATACGAGCTTCAATCTGTCTCCCTCTCTGAAAATCAAACTTCCTTTCCCTTTGGGTGTAAGAATCTTATTACTTGAATCTTACATTTTCGCATTATTTGTGTGATGTTCAAATTAGCTTCTAGTGGCTATGGTAGCTTTGAAGAGATTGACAACATGACTGTTCTTCTTCTGTCCCTCAGAGGAAACTTTAAGATGCGGGAGGTGGAGCATGGCTTTTGTGTGTCACCACTTCTCCATATCGATGCCCAAAGCAGGCATCCCTAATCAATCCTAGCAGTTTTCATCCAGATAAGGACAACATGGCATCCCAGGCAGACCATACCAATCAATCAGAGTTACCTGGGCAAGTGAAATGTATTTGTCACCCCTGCTCAAGGGGAACTTGGAAAATAGTAGACACAGCAGAAACTAACAGAAACCCCAATGCAAGGTAACCTGAAATAAAGCAAGGAGGATGCTGGATTATCAAGAAAATCTCTCTCCCATGCAACAAACCCACTTATTTAGTTCCTGGACATCTCCTCCTGTTCTTCCTACAGTTGTCCTGTCTAAGAATTAAACATCGCCACTGTCCCAGGAAGCCTGTTTCTCCTCCAAAAGCCAGTAAAATTCTGAGAGGGACCTTAGCTCCCTCCCTATATCCATTCTACGTCCTTTCTGTCTCTGAATCCACTGCTTTTTCTCCTCATCCATTAGGAATTCGTGATGTCTTGCCTGGCCGGCTGCAATAGACTCGTAACTGGTCTCTGACGTTTGCTTTACCATCCTCTCATCCACGCTCCACACTACTTTTCAAAAATCTGGTTCCAATGTGTTACTTTCTCGCTTAAAGTCTTCCAATAGCTTTTTTCCCGTTGGAATAAAGACCTAACGCTTTAGCATGGCAGCAAAGGCCCACCCGTTGTCCAAGTTCTGACCACCTCTGAAGCACGTCTTCTTGCCACTTTCACTCAATAGAATCAAATCTAATTGACTTACGATTCTACACGCTCCATGATGGGACTACACTTTCAAAAGTCCACTCAAGACGCAGAGTAGAAAACAGTTGCTTTGGAGAAGAATGGAGGCAAGGAGATAAGGTAAGAGACTATTGCCATTGTCCTTGCAAGAGAAGACAAAGGCCTGAATTAAGATAGAAGTTGTGGTTGTGAAGAGGAAAAAGTTATAAACCATTTTAATAAGGTGGCGATGACAGAGCTTGGTGATTGAAGGTGGAAGTTTAGAGAGAGAAGCTACCTGGTAGATGACACTCAGAGCGTAGACTTGTGCGTCTGCCTGTTGGTGGGGGTGTCACTCACAGAGAGAAGGAACACAGAAGGAGAGCGGGTTTGGAAGGAAAGATGACGAAGTGAGCTTTAGGCGTGAGGAATTTGAGGAGCTGGAAGGACATCAACATGCAGATGTCCAGGGGCCATTAAACTTAAGGATCAGGAATTCAAGAAAAGTTCGCCATCTTTGTTGTAGCTATGGGGATAGATGAGATCACTCAGAGAAAATGACTAGGGCCAGGAGAGGAAGAGGATGGGACAGAACACGAGAAAACACCAATTTTGGAAAGCCCAGCTGGGGAAGAGGAGCCAGGACTGAAGAAGAGTGAGGTGGCACCATGGGTGACAAAGGAGGAGTTACAGGGGCAGAGGTGGTATGGAAGTCACCAAAGGTGGGACTCCGGGCAAGCCTCACCTTCCCTGAAGCCATCCTCATCAGCCTGCCCAGATGGGGCCTCTGTCCCCTGCTTGATAGCATTGCCCATATATCTCTGTAACCCTCACATTTCATTGCTTGTTGGGATTAACTGTTGACTTGACACTGCATGACTTGACTGTCTGTCCCAGTGGACTGCCAGCTCTTTGAGGTCAGGCAACATGAGGGCTCCTTTGACCCAGCTTCCTGTCCATGGCCAGAATCCCATAACAACCTCCCCACTGGATGATTATCCAGCCTCTTCTTGAATGCTATCATGAATGATGCTTACTCCATTGTCAAGCAAGCCACTTTACTGTAGACCCAAAGCTTGTGTTCAAGAGAAATTTCATTGAGCAAGAATTTATATTCCCATCAAATTTACCTAGTGTTCCTAATTTTAAATTTAGAGCTTCAAAAAATTACTTTGGGGCCAGTCCAGTGGCATAGTGGTTAAGTTTGGCATGTTTGGCTTCAGCGGCCTGGGTTTGCAGGTTCAGATCCCAGGCATAGACCTATATCACTCATCAGCCACATTGTGGCAGCGACCCACATATAAAGTAGAGGAAGATTGGCACAGATATTATTCTTCCTCACACACACAAAAAAATTAATTTCTATTCTACCAGACAGTTCTTTGACTGTTTGGATATGCCTCTCAGAGTTCATCCAGACTTTTCACCTCTAGCTTACCATTTCTAGTTCCTATCTTCTCTGACCTGGTTCCAAAGTTCTTCACCTTCTTGGCCCTTCAGCTCAGGCAATAGTTGGCTCAACTGGCACTGCTTCTTGACGCATGGGCAGCCAGAACCGAACATGACCACCAAGTGTGATCTAGAAAAAATGCCCTGCAGCATTCAGCAGAGAAGATCCATGCTGTGAGCTGTGGATTGACTGCCACTTCTGTTCCTGCATCATGCTTCTGTTCCTGATATGGAGTCTTAACCAAAGAATTGTCCCTGATTCCTCTCTCCATTACACTCCTGCAAAAACATCCATCTTGAGTTCCTTTTGAGAGACCTGCCTCTCAGAGCAACGTTTCTCCCCTAGAGTGATGACCCCTACTGGGACCTTCCTGATTCAAAGCCGGAACTACCACCAGAGCGTCCTGCTACCTCCTCCCCCTGAGCATCATGCTGCTCAAGGATGTACAGGGGCTCTGTGTGTCCTGCTAGGTCAAGCTCAATCTGTAAGGTCAGGCTTTTAAGTTCTCCCACCATCTGACCTCAAACTCTTATCTCATTCCTTTGGGGAATCAGCTCTCGGAATTGCCTTCCCCATGATGGTCTGCATACTCCCACCTCCACACTTCTACCCCATCTGTCAGCTCTCACCCGCTTTGCAAAGCCTGGAGCCCATCCCAGCTGACCGCCTCTCCTCCCTGTAGCACAGAGCTGGATATTCAGCTGGCCCCTGCTTTGCAGTCTACTTCCCATGGTTCCACTGGAAGCTCTCTGAAGAGGGGGCCCAAAGGGTCCCTGCACAAGGCTGAATAGAAGCCAGCATTTGAAGGAGGAAAGAAACATACACTCTGCAGAATTTTACAGAAAGTTTTCTTGTTGTAATGAGGACTTTTAAGATCTACTCCCCTAGCAACTTTCACATATGTAATACGGTATTATTAACTATAATCACCATGCTGTACATTACATCCTCGAGACTTATTTGTTTTATAACTAGAAGTTTGTACCTTTTGACCCTTTTCATGCATTTCACCCACCCCCTACCCCTTGCCTCTGGCAACCACCAATCTGTTCTCTGTATCTATGAGCTGGTTTTGTTTTGTTTTGTTTTGTTTTGTTTTGTCTTTGAGATTCCACATATAAGTGACATCATGTGGTATTTGTCTTTCTCTGTCTGACTTATTTCACTTAGCATAATGTTCATCAGGTTCATCCATTTGTCACAAATGGCAAGATTTCATTCTTTTTATGACTGAATAATATTCCAAATTTCTTTATCCGTTCATCCATTGATGGTCACTTGGGTTGCTTCCATGTCTTGACTATTGTAAACGCTGCTGCAATGAACATCGCAGGGTACATATATATTTTCGACTTAGTGTTTTTGTTTTCTTAGGATAAATACTTAGAGGTGGAATTGCTGGATCATTTGGTAGTTCTATTATTAATATTTTGAGGACCCTTCATACTATTTTCCATAGTGGCTGCACCAGTTTGCATTCCCACTAACAGTGCACACGTGTTCCCTCTTTTCCACATCCTCGCCAACACTTGTTATTTCTTGTCTTTTCTGTAATAGCCATTCTAACCAGTGTGAGGTGATAGCTCACTGTGGTTTTGATTTGTGAGTCCCTGATGAGTAGCGATGTTGGGCATCTTTTCATGTACCTTTTGGCCATCTGTGTGTCTTGTTTGGAAAAATGTCTATTCAGATCCTCTGCCCATTTCTAAATAGAATTGTTTGGTTTTTCGCTATTGAGTTGTATGAGTTCTTTATCCATTTTGGATATTGACCAGTTATCAGATATATAATTTGCAAGTATTTGCTCCCATTCAGTAGGTTGCCTTTTCATTTTGTGGATGATTCCTGTGCTGTGCAACCTCTGCACAATTTTCATTCCTTTGTACACCCAACCGAGCCTCGCTGTGTAAGACCCCTCACAGAAATCTGATTATGGCCCCTGAGGGGAAAGGAGTTGAGTAAGACTTTCCCCTCCACTCAACAGCACTGATAACACTTACACTGTCCTCCAGGTGCATCCCTGAGTCTCCGAGGTGGTTGATCTCCCAGAACAAAAATACTGAGGCCATGAGGGTCATTAAGCACATGGCAAAGAAAAACAGAAAATCTCTGCCTGCCTCTCTTCAGGTGAGCCAGCAGCTGAAGCATCAAATGAAGGAGCAGTGAAGAAGAGGACTCGGGCAAACCACGCACTGTCTCAATGGGGAGCCCCAAGGGGCCCGCCATATACAGCAGGATATTTCTGTTGTGCTAATATTCTGTGGTTCCCTGGTCAAATATTTTAAACGGATAGAAACATAAAACTAAAAGGAAACCAAGAATCATTTAGAAGTTAAATGAGGAGCTTCTATCTTGGGCAGCACAAGGCCATGCTGGCCATTCCTGCCTAAGTACCTGATGTCTTGGTTACCTGTGTGTCCTCTGCATCCTTGGGGAGGGAGGTTTTCCCCAGAGGGAAGGTGCCCAGGTAAATAAAACAGTTGTTCAAACACATAATAATTTCTTAGAATTTTAAAAATTTTGGATAGAAAACGTCCCAAAATGCTTTAAGCAATCCCCTGCCTTCTTGAATAGAACAAATTACTAAAGAGTCTGTCTCTCTGCTTTTAGGATTCTGCCTTGAGTAGACCTCAGCATCTTTAGCTGAAACCTTTTCATCTGACAGGGACTGGAAAAGAAAACATCAAGCTTATTATAAAGTTATGTCAAAATAAGCGTAAATAATTTCTGAATGAGAATCTAAGATAGGTAACCTGTAAGAATTTGAGATTTCCGTGACATATAAAATGAGGGATTTTGGTCTCAGAGGCATTTTTTCTTCCTTTCCTCTCTGATTTCTGGGTGGTTATTCCATTAATTCCATTATTTTCCATTAATGACTGGTATGGCACCCATTCTTAGGTTTAAGGTCCTTACGGGGATTGGGCAGGGAATAAAGCATGCGTGAGCCGTTGCCTCGCCCAAGTTCAGAGTTCACATAATGATGATAAGTCTGGTCATTTCTGGTCTTGCTGGAGGTGGCTTCCCCTTTTGGGCATCTTTCACACACCGTCATGTGTTGCTCTAAGGAGGAGTCAGAACCCTGGAGATTGAATCTCAGCTCCATCACCAACTATTTTCTTCTAGAGCAGGGCTTCTCAAACGTTGACATCTGTGCACAGGACTCACCGGGGGACCTTGTGAAAATGCAGATTCGGATTCACTCTCTGTGGGCTGGGGGCCAAGATCTTTCATTCTAACAAACTCCAGGTGATGCTGAGCTGTCCAAGCGCCAAGGTCTCAGAGCAGAGCCTCCTGACCCATGGGTCACAAATGGGTCCAGGTCAGAGAGGGTGTGTCAATGCCCTGAGCCCTCAGAGTCGCTGGGCTGGGCCTCGATTTTAACCTACTGTGTTTTACCAATAGTATTGCTTTATATATATATATATATATATATATGCATGAGTTATCTAATTTCTCTGTAGCCCAGCTTCCTCTTCCGTGAAATGGGGTGAACAACATAGACCCTAACTTCTCAGAGATCTGTAAAGATTAACCAAGCTGATGTGTGTGAAGGGCTTAGCAGAGTCCTGGGCACATTATAAGTAAGCGTAAGGTCCTATTACTCTTCCTGTATGACCCTGGGACACTATCACTAAATATACAAAGCCATTCCTCTTGTTTCTGTTCTTAGAGCCTCAGACCTGGCGAGGAAGTCAGCGAGAAGTTGAATCCTTCATTTCTTGATTTGGTCAGAACCCCTCAGATAAGGAAACACACTTTGGTCTTGATGTACAACTGGTAAGGAATATTTTTCGCTTTAAAATCCCTCCAAATTCTTTTCATCACAGCCATCCACATTCACTTAGCCTAGTCCCAGTATTAGCATCGACAGTGGACGGCAGCATGGCTCATTTATAGCAAGTTTTCCTGATACTGTTTTTCTCAGGCAGACGTTGACATCACCTTACGGTCCCAAGGCATCAATCCCAACACTCTCAACCTTGGTTTCACCTTACAATCTCCTGGAAGGTCATAAAATACCAAGAGTAGACCACCCCTGATCCCAAGGATACTGCTTTAATTGGTCAAGGGAAGGGCCCAGGAACCAATATTTTAGCATTTCTCCAGGGGATTCTAATATTTGGTTAAAATTGAAAACTGTTGGAGTAGATTAATTGATAATGAGTATAGATCTCTCTGATTACACAGGGCTGGCAAGGAAAGGGCCATTTCTTTTTCTTTTTTAACTGGAGAAAAAAAATAAACTTCCAGGGGGCCGGCCCCGTGGCCGAGTGGTTAAGTTCGTGCTCTCTGCTTTGGCGGCCCAGGATTTCACCAGTTTGAGTCCTGGGCGCGGACCTAGCACCGCTCATCAAGCCATGCTGAGGTTGCGTCCCACATAGCACAGCTAAAAGGACCCACAACTAAAATATACTACTATGTACTGGGGGGCTTTGGGGAAAAGAATGAAAAATAAAAAATAAGATATTTAAAATGAATAAATAAACTTCCAAATAAGAATGAACCCCAAGAATAATCCACTGGCTCCACAATCCGGTAACTTAAGCCTGACGGTCTCCACTGCCTACAGGTTGCTCTCAGAGCATTGAGCCATTCACTCTACACCAAACCGTCTTTTGCTCAACACGCTTTCCTCGCAGTGTGCAGCACTGGGACAACTCACATCAGCCAAACAAAGATTTATCATCACTGACAAATGTAAAGCTCGTCAGGAATTAATTTAGCGACATTCACCATATTGTACGTAAAATGCACCAGTGAAATTTGGCCTCATCATCCTTCTTTCCTTTTCTGACAATTGTGACTCTTGCCAATGATCTTCATGTTTTCCATTACAGACAATGAAGACTTTTAGTCCACAAAACTAGAAACATCATCAAAATACTGTTTGTAACAGGTCAGAAGATAAATCATCCAGAAGGGAGGCTGTACCGTTTGGTCTTCTGGTTTCCTAAAATCTGAATTAAACAGTCAACCTTTTTGATCCAAACTGCATTAGAAGACCACACAGAGAGAAATACTTAACAACCACTAATAACCTGAGATCATTCTACTAAATAAATCACTCTAGTGAGACACTTTTTCTTACCTTTCAATTTGGCCAGGGAACGCTATCCTCATTTCTTCCCCTTTCCTGGTTCTGGGGTCACAGCCAGACATGGCAGTGGGTCAGATAGCGTAAAAGCAATGAAATGGAGGGAAGAGCAATAAGAAGATGGCAAAGAAAGGTCACTTACAATCCACTCTTATTTTTCCAGAGGCCTCTCCCTTTTGGCAACTTGCTTTTGATGCTTGGCTTGACCTGAGCTCTCCTCTTTGCTCAGGTTCACGAGCTCTGTTCTCTACCAGGGCCTCATCATGCACATGGGCCTTGCAGGAAGCAACATCTACCTGGATTTCTTCTACTCTGCCCTGGTTGAATTCCCTGCCGCCTTCATCATCATCCTCACCATTGACCGCATCGGACGCCGTTATCCCTGGGCTGCATCAAATGTAGTGGCAGGAGTAGCGTGTCTAGCCTCGGTTTTTATCCCTGCTGGTAAGTTTCAGGCCAAGCTGGGTCTTGTCTTCCAAGGCCCTGAGAAGAGGGAGTGTCACAGCCCTTTGATAGGAAGAATAGGTAATTTATCATCCAAGTCAATTTGGAAAGAGTGAATACAATCTCTAGGACTTTCCCAAGCAAACCCAGATGGCCACCCTGCCTTTAAGAGCAATGACACCCAATGGTTGCCTGCTGTAATACAATGAGGGAGGCTATGAAGACCCACGCTACAGGCCATCAAGCTGGGCCAGAGCAGACTGCATGGGCTTTGGGCTAGAGCAAACCCAGGATTAAAGTCTTATTCCAGCATGTTCCAGATATTATTTAGGCAACTCCCTTGACCTCCCCACATCATCCTGCAGAATAAATGAGAAAGCTTAAGTAAATGCCATGAGCAAACAATTATTCCGTTCCTTTCTTTCCTTTTCAAATGCTTTCTCAATGAAGGAGAGCAAAAACCTGTGTGACAGAATGGGCCTGCGTTTGAATCCTTCAGTTTTTAGCAATCATTCAGAATGTGCCCGTACTTTGCTGTTTCTTTCAGGTGACCTCTGTAGACTATAGTTGGCCCAGCTTCAGAAACTGGTATAAATCTGTTGTCGTTAATGACTGACGTCTAAAGTTAAGATAGTATTAGAATTGTATCTAAAGTTAAAACAAACAGACATGGAGAATTTGCTGATGTTGTCTTGAGTCTATAGAAGAATCCATTTTGTGTTCTTGTCCCATTCTGGAACATGGCCTTTCCCCTTGCAAAGCCCCCTCTGGAGCACTGTTTGAAGACCAGGGGTAGAGTGCAGTGTGTGTAAGTGGTGTGTTTTTTCCCCTCAGATCTGCAATGGCTAAAAGTTACAGTCGCATGCTTGGGCAGAATGGGGATTACAATGGCCTATGAAATGGTTTGCCTGGTCAATGCGGAACTGTACCCCACATTCATCCGGTGAGCATGTTTTCCTCAGCACAAAGAGGGCGGTCGCGACATTTGCTTACTGGCTAGAACTACCACTGGTGCCAACAACAGGCACCTTCATCTTCAAAACACAGGGTAAGAGAAGATGAGAACGTTTCAAGGCAGTAGCCGGTTCACACCTCACGCTTACAGGCTTTAAAATACAGAAACTGTGTGGTGAGAACAGAAGATATTGAATCGCAAGAGAGGGATTACCAAATAGCCACAGGAGAGAGTGACGGGGAACAGTGCAAAACAAGACCATAGAAACAGCACAAGGAAGACAGGTGGTGAAGGTGAAAAGTAAAAATCACCCCCCCGTCGATTAAAAATCTTCAAGAAAGCTAACACAAAACAAGTACAAGAGAGCGTGAATGGAATCATGCACCATTTAGCGTTTGTGCGCATTGAAGATGACATGAACAATTTTTCTAGTTCGCAGGCATTCTAATGAGTTAGGGAAGTATTTATTTGGGGGTGAGGTGGGAGATAATGCCTGTACTGGGATAAGTTGAAAAGTTTAATCAGCTTCCTGCACTCCAGGAATCTTGGTGTCCTGGTCTGCTCCTCCATGTGTGACATTGGTGGCATCATCACACCGTTCCTGGTCTATCGACTCACCAGCATCTGGCAAGAGCTCCCACTGGTGGTCTTTGGTAAGAAATCCTCAGAGAGGTCTTTGAATGAAAACCTGATTTTCTAGAGACCTCCATTTTTGTGCCTCAAAATAAGTGTCATGACTGTTAGCAACTAGTCAATATGATTAGCAATTAGTACTACTATTAGTGGGAATAAGACTCATATTCGTAATGCCATTAGTAGCTTCTAATACTCTAGTACGGGAAATTCATGCCCTTAGAGGTACAAAGTCAAGAAAGAGTGAGATGGAAGGAACTTTCTGAAGAAGGCCCCTCTCTCTTCACTGATTTCCACCCCTCCTTGAGTCTCCTTGTCAAAGAGCGCTCTCTCTGCCTCCTCTATGCCCAGATGTGGAAAAATACAAATCATTTACTTGATTACTTCAAAGAAAGGTGGTTAAAATTTTGCAAAGGGCAATTTCAAAACCCAGGGGAGAGAAAGACCGAGATGAAGAAAATGCACCAGCATAATGGAACCCTTGTGTTGGTGTTGGCAACCCCTTCCTCAGATTAGATTAGATTTGAGGAGCATTGGCACAACACTTCCCTTCTGACACTGCCCGTGGAGTTGGGGCAGGCAGGAATGTGCCAATGCAGAGCCCTCCCCACACCTGACCAGCCTGCAGGATAGAAGGGGACAGGGACAAGTCTATTTATCAACAATTAAGACACAGAGGCGTATGTTGAACACAAGTCATAGACTTTGAGAGGTGACAGGGAATGCTGGGCACTTCCATTCATTCAACCTCCATGGCCTCCTCCCACAGCTGTAGACCATGGGACAGATCCTCTCCTTCTACGTGTCCACACAGACAGGTCTCCAGACACACACACAGCATTCACCTTCTCATGTCGGCCGCAACGCCTCAATGCACCCATTTCAACCTCTTTTAAGACCCATTCTGAGCCACTTTTAATTTGACAAAAATGTAGCACTTTTCCCCGTGGGTACACAGCACTCACTTAATTTGGGAGAGGCAGGACAAGACCCTCTGAGATGCACACCAGGGGAGCACGCCCATTACTTTTCTCTTAATGCTGTGCGTTGCCACCCACACGTAACTCTGCTCGTTTCTTCTTCTCAAGGGATTTGTGAGGGGGAAAATTTTCCACTGCTGTACATCTGCCAGCAAAAGTCCCAAACCATTGATAGAACTCTCCCTCAAAACAGACCCAACGAATTCCTCCACATTCTGACTTAGTAACAGCAAGATGGCCAAAATTGATATGACACAAGTTCTTTATCCCGAGATAACCATGATTTGGCCACAGGGTGGCTGGCACTGCTTATGGGACATACGTGCCCCAGATTCCTTCCTCCCCAAACACTGGCTGAGGGACCTGTCTCCAGAGATCCCTTTCCATCTTGGGGAAGTGTCTTCATACCCTTGAGACTCCTTCCTTCCCAGGAGGAAGTTGGAGATGCCGCAATCGCGGCCACTCCCTTAGGCGGGCAGTGGGTGAGCAATGGGTCAGTGGGACATTTCTGGGTTTGGAACAGACTTGTTTCTCTAAGTATTATTTCACAAAGCAGTGCAACTTCCAGGCCAGAGGAGCCGTTGTTGACCCTCTGTCATGCCTTGCCTTTCCCAGAAAAGATAAAGGGTTTTAACTACATTCAACATTTAAAATAAACTTGAAGAGAAGTCCCATCTTTATTTTTTCTAGGACGTCCATCTTCTTGCCTTGCCAGCCCTTAATCTGAGTAGCTAGCAGGAAGCAAAACGAATAGTTTTGCATTTTAACTTCTTTCCCTTTCATTTCCCACACGATAATGATGAGCTGGTTGTGGTCTTGACGTAGCCAGAAACAGTGATCTAGAAGCCTGAAAATCAATAAATGCACATGTTGGGAAATCCTGGTTGAAATAGTACTGGAAAAATCGATAAGGAATATCTTGGTTAGTTAGGCTTACTTTTGCAAATATAAAACGCTAAATGGATGAGAATTTGATGCATCTATTATCTTCTCTTCATAATTCACTCAGTTCAGAGAATCGAAGCCAGCTGAATGTGTTTATTGTTTGCATGGGTTGCAGCCAAGTGAGTCTTGAGAGGTTCGGGGAGATTTTGAGAGACTGGCTATTAGGTCATACCATGTGGCACGCAGCATTCTAAGCGCTTCAGAAACATGAATTCATTTCAGCCTCAGGACAAGCCTGCAAGGTGGATATATCACCCCACTTTATGTAGGAGAGTCTGGAGTATCCAGGAGATTGCAGAAATTCCCAGGGCTTTAAGACTAGGAAGGAGAGGTCAAAACTGGAACCCAGGTGCCCAGAGCGACGTCCAGCGCCCTGTGGCCTCTTTCCTGCCATTTTTTAAGGATGGAAAGAAAAATGGAGTCCAGCGTGCAGTATTTTCAAACCCCAAAACTAGTGAAGGACCCACATCCCACTTGTGCATTCTATTATAAAAAATCTATGAAAACATAGTCTTAAGATCCCAAAACTTCAATGGGAGTTTAAAGAAACAAAAACACCATAATGTTTACTATTGCCCCCAGGATATGCAAAAGATTATAGCTGGAGACAAAGAAAAAAGAAACAAGAGGAATTTATTGAACACCTGAATTAGAACTAAAAGGCCTGGCCTTGCTTTTTAATGCTGTTCTAATGCTGTTATGCAGTAATACATTTTTATTACTTTTTATTTGCTAGTAATGATCCAAGTTTCTGACTGATTTTCTTTACTAAGTGCTTTATACTGACAGGGTTATTTTCTTCCTTTTCTTAGAGCTGATTTTTTTTCAGAGTTATTTTCTAACTCCAAAGTGTCTTGATACTTCGGCAGTGTCCTCTAGCCTAGAATAACCTAGACTCAAAATGTTAAGTATTTCATTTCCCTATAAGGAATTGTAATCCAACTGAGTTTGGAGTCAGCAAAGTATTTATGATGGAGAATAGGGCAGTCAGAGTTGACAAAGGAATCTATAAGTATAGGAAATCAGCAAAATTGTTTTTAAAAAAGAGCTAAGAGGAGCTCTAATTATAGAAGGTGCATGTCTCAGTTCTCACTGTGATTTGCATTGTTGGGCTTTCAGCCGTGGTTGGCCTGATGGCTGGAGGACTGGTGTTGCTTCTACCAGAGACCAAAGGGAGGACTTTGCCCGAGACCATTGAAGAAGCTGAAAACATGCAGAGGTAGGGAGCTGAAATTCCCAAATGAACTCTTCGATACATGTTTTGGGACAACTCTGTAGCCACTTGGAAAGAAAGATGGGTTGACTCCATACCTCACACCATACATTGAGATCAGTTCACACTAAATCAAAGACTTAAAAGTACAGAAAAAGAAACAACGAAATAATGAGGATCCTATAGGAGAGCTCCTTTATGCTTTCATCATGGGGAAGGCCTTTGTGAATAGGACGAAAAATCTAGGACCAATAAAAAAAATCAATGAGTTTATCTTCGAAAGAATTTAAAATTCTGCATTGAAAAACTACCATAAGCTAAAGAAAAATAACAAATTTAGGAAAGAGATTTATTCCTCAACAAGGGCTTATTTCTCCAATATATAAAGAGTTCTAACAAATCCATAACAGCAACCACCCAATAGAAAACGTGGGCAAATGACTTGAACAGATAATTCAGAGAAAAGAAAAGAAAAACAGCTCAAAAATTTACTCTACATCCTTCATAATAAGAGAAGTGCAAATTAACACTTCACTAATATCAACTTTAGTTGTCAAAGATCCAACAGCTTGGTAACATATCATGTTGGGAAAGAATGTGGGGAACAGACAGTGTCATACACTGCTGGTAGGAGTCCAAATTGAAAACCTCTATGATGGGCAATAAGACAATAGTATCGAAATTACAAATGTGCGTATCCTTTTACCTAGAAATTCCACACTTTGAGGAATTGGCATGTGCAACATGACATAGGTACTGGATTGTTCATTAAAACAATTTTTTATGCAACAAAAGATTGGAAACAACCTAAACGGCCATCGATTGGAAGACCAGTTATATAAACTGTGGTGTATCATTCAATACAATACCATACAGCCATTAAAAGAATGAGGCAGCTTTATATACGTAGATAAGGAGAATTGTCTAAGATATATTAACGAAAAAAAGCAAAATATAGAAAAGTATATATTCTACCATTTGTGTACAAAGAGCAAAATATGCATATAAATATATATACATATTTACCTGTATCTCTGGAAGAATATGCAAGAACCATAACATTGGTTGTCTATGAAATTGGGTGGCTATGGGATTGAGGTGGGCAGGAGATTTTTTAAGGCATAGCTTTTTGTACTTTCTGAATTTTGAACTATAAGAACCTATTCAAAAAGTAAACTGGCAAAAATCTAAATAAACAGAAACAGAAATGACACTCCCCACAAGTTTGTTTCTAGAGTATGCTTAGATATTTTTATTTATTTTATCCATACTCCATTTTTGGCCCGTTGGTGCCATGAACTGAACTGAATTTTATCCATTCTACAAAACCTTCACATTTAACATATTCCGTACTTGGACACATCTTGCTGCAAGAAGGTTGCAGTGGTCTGAGTTTTACCTAGAACTTGAAGCTCAGAGTTGGAAGAAGTCTTGAATCCAGCCAGAGGTCACACATTGGCAGCCCACCGGACACCAGGTTCTGAAGAACTTTGCTTGGCTCACACGATATTTTTTAAAGTGGGAAATTCCACGGAAACTGGATTTCCAGGATCTGCTAAAAAAAAAAAAAAAATAGAGGATTTGGTAACACTGAGCACACCTTTCCTCTTGTTGACAATTTGTGGGAATGGAGTGATGGCTCAGCTTTTTGAAGGGCATGCCGCCTCGACTAGGACAGTCTCACTCTTCTTTATTATCTCATGCCGAGAGAGCTTATATTATCTGCCTGGCACATGTAGATATCTGAGTCTGAGATCCTTGATCCAGACCAACCACCCTCACTGTACCTCTGTCTCAACGCAGCTTCCCATGCACACAAGTGCCTCCCCTTGAGGACAGAGACTGCATCCCATTTACTGTCATATCTCTAGAGCTTAGCACGGTCTCTGGCACACCCAGAGCAGGTGCTCACCAAATAGTTGTGGCATAAAGGCTGGGTTCCTTCGACAGCATCCCAAATTGAGATTTCTCCAGGCTTTCCCAAGCCCGCTCCTGTGTGAAGAAGGCAGTAATACGTGCTGTGGCCTGAGTTCTTCTAAGGCTCGGTTTCCTCATCTATAAATGGGGACAACAGTTCCTACCCATTGGATTTTTGCAATGATTAAATGAGATGATGCACGTAAAGTGCCTGGCACTTTGTAAATGTCCAGTAACCACTGTTATTCATCGAAGTTTCCATAGCTGTTCTATAAAACAGGAAAATGTGTACCTGGACAATTGATTGGAAATCAGATTTTAAAGTGTGTTCTGAATGGTTTTGAGATAGGGAAGTGCAGCTAGCTGATATATACATGCACCGGTATTCCTATGTGTTTTTTATTTTCATCAGGCTGGTTCAAAGTAGGCTAAAGAGATATTTAAAAGATTATTGCTGTTGTTATTCTATATTCTTTCTATTCATGGGATCTGCAAATACTTCTATGAAGATTTGCACTTTTCTTTTTTTGGTATAATGTAACCCAGTTCACCTTTCAAAGACTGAATACAGATCTATAAAGCTTGGGAAATTGCAGAAAGAGAGTGTGGGAAGCTGAGGGCTGAGGCAGAGCTGGGCCAAGGGTCCACCTGCAGAGAAAGATGAGGACGGGCAGCCCCCATAAGGAGGAGGTGTCTGGGCGCAGGAAGGCAGACCCCAATTGGCACCTGGGGTCAGGCAGGCAGGATGGCTCATTCGGGAGAGCTGACCCAGGTGGAGTGTCCAGACACTGAGGGAGAGGCGGCAAGAATAGGGTAGGGCAGGAGTCCCCCCCGAACCAAGTCATTCAGCTCCTAAGGGCCCTGAGCCCAGCCTACTTACAAAGATAGCCTTGGACTTACTAATGTCCACCTCCTCAGCCTGTTTCCTTGTCTGTAAAATGGGGGCTACAATAGCTACCGTTCACTAAGAGCTTCCAACCAGTGCTTGCCAAGCCCTTCTCATGGATTCCCTCATTTGATCCTTGCAGCAGCCCGATGGAGCAGGTGTTATGATTCCCTCTGTTTGACAACTGAAAAAGACTGAGGCAAGAGAGATTAAAGGACTTGTCCAAAGTCACATGGCCAGTAGGTCACCAAGCCAAGGTTCTAGTCCTGGGAGGAAGAGTCCAGGGCCCATGCATGCATCCCACCTCACAGGGCTGGGTTCACGGTGGGATGATGGAGGTGAGGGGCCCAGGGCAGGGCTGCGTTTTGTCAACGTGTCTGCCGTGGCTGCTGCGGCGGCTGCTGTTGCTGCTGTTATTGCTGCTCTTGTTGCTGTTGTTGCTGCTGCTGCTACGATTGTTATTGTTGCCATTGTTGCTGTTGCCATTGTTGCTGCTGCTACTGTTGTTACTGTTGCCATTGTTGCTGTTGCCATTGTTGCTGCTGGTGCTACGGTTGTTATTGTTGCCATTGTTGCTGTTGCCATTGTTGCTGCTGCTACTGTTGTTATTGTTGCCATTGTTGCTGTTGCTGTTACTCTTGTTGTTGTTGGCGGAGAGACCCTGTGAGCTCAGATTTGCTTGAGCGCCTACGTCTGGAGTCTGCGAGGACTCCATCACCACTGGGCAATTTGGGTGAGCTTCTGCTGCTCTCCCAGTCTCAGACTGGTCTAGAAACTGAGGCAGGACTAAACACCTCCAGGTGGGGAGAATTCTGTGAAGAGCTGGGGGACCCAGGAGTAGCCCCACACCAGATTTCAATATTACTCTCAACAGGAGCATGTCAAGAGGACTTGGCTGGGAACCACAAAGTGAAGAAAGCATCATTTCTCTAATGAGTATCTTATATTCATAAAAACAAGATGATGGAGAAAACTTGCAATTCGATTGAATTTTTGAGTTGATTTTTCACTTGTCCAACTGTTGAAAAGTAAATAAATTTTGGTAAAAATAATTTCTAAAGTTCTATTTGCAGAATTGAAGATAACAGTGTCTAGATCTTGCAATCATCATTTTTAACTGATGTAGGATTAAATTTAGACATTTCCTGCATTCTCTATTATAGAGAAGGGTGGAACACCTTAAATAAGCAGCTTAAGCCAGCCTCACTCCTAGGAGAGAGTTTCAAGAACCACTCCATCCACATTACTTATTCACTAACCTCTGTCCATTTTCTTTTCTAGACTCCCCACCCAGAATGCACTGCAAGCCTGATGCTGAACAAGGCTTACACTCATTTGTTGTTCCATTTATTTATTATCCATTTTATTTTGCTTTCCAGCCTCCTCATGATTTCTTTCCATTTTTATTTTATTATTGCAGACCAAGAAAAAAGAAAGAAAAGAGGATTTACCTTGAAGTCAAGAAATTAGACATTCCCCTAAACTAAGAAGAGCCCTCATTGCTGCTATGGTCTTCCTTTGATGGTCTGAGGCCAGAATCAGAGATTTCTCCACTCCTCACAAAGCACATACAATTCAAACTTACTTCCCTTTGAATCCTATTAACCTAGATCTATGGCCAAATGGAGCTTGTTGTACAACTGCATTAAAATCTACCCATGGACCAGATCCTGCCATGCCACTCCAGCTCACTCCATTCCCGGTATTCCCGGACAACAACCATTAATTTGCTGGGAATTTTTTTAAATTGCTGTATTTCTTTATTTTGTTTCTTTCTCCACAATTATGTGAAACCAAAACATATAGGGGAATTGTGGGCCAGGGAAATAAAATAAAAAAGATTGTGAAAAACAATAAAGTTTTCTTCAAGAAATAACATCCAAAGCAATATCAAGTTGTCCAGAATGTAAGTCAAGAATTTTAAATAGGCCTTTCAGTGTTACATGTGAAGAAACTTTAAAATACATTGATTATTATCTGGGTTAGACTTTAAGGGAATTTAAAATAAAAGAATCAGGAGTACAAAGGAGTAATCACTGTCATCTCTATTTAGATGATGGATAAGCACAAATGTGTGCTCTCTACAAGAGATCTTGAGAAGTGTTTGATAAAGAGCAATGTTAAACTTGGCATTATTAAACGATAGATGATAATGCTTCCATCTGGTAAAAATTTCTCTAAATTTGTGGATTTAAAAAATTATATTGATATTTTACCAAAGTAATGTAGTAAGTAGATTTTTTTAAAGCTAAATAACGACCTATAATGAAAAACAAAAGTTCCTTGCCCCATTTCTCCTCTACTAACTCCTCAGAAATAATTTTCAAACTTTTTTGCTGTTTTTTCCCCTGAGATTTATTGTATCTAAATAACTTGCTTTATATTGACATATCTTGATTTTTTTAGTTTTGAATATTACCTGTTGACTTTTTAATATAAAAGATGAACATATAGCTCTCTTCACGTCACCCCTCATCGCAACACACAACTTCTTTCTTCTCTACAAACTTTGCTTCATACAATTTTTACTAAATCAAATAGTCAACATTCACCTTAGTATGGCTGTGGAACTATTATTAACAGCCGAGCCACATAGTATACTATGATCATATACTATGATATATATATCATATATCATATACTATGATAGTATACATGATTCCTTTCACATTCCATTTTTCCTGAACTGTGGTTCTCGTTGCTCTGCTTTCTATATATTCATCATTAATTTTCTTCCAGCTCTCTGAAAGAACAATACATTTCTTTCTTTTTTTTTTTTTTTTTTTGAGGAAGATTAGCCCCGAGCTAACTACTGCCAGTCCTCCTCTTTTTTGCTGAGGAAGACTGGCCCTGAGCTAACATCTATGCCCATCTTCCTCTACTTTATATATGGGATGCCTACCACAGCATGGCTTGACAAACGGTGCAATGTCCACACCCGGCATCCGAACCGGCCAACCCTGGGCTGCCGAGAAGGGAAACGTGCGCATTTAACGGCTGCTCCACCGGGCCGGCCCCCATCCATTTCTCAATGTCTTCAAACGCATCACACGGTGGCTCCTGTTCCTTCTTCCTGACAGACTTCCCTGCTGGAGCTGGTAGCCCTCCTGCTCTGGGGCAGGCTGGCTAATCTCTAGGCTTGATGCTGTTGCCCTGGGCTCTCCTTTCTTCACCTCCTGAAATGCCCCAGTCCCTCTCTCTTGTGTTGGACACCCTGTCTCCCACATCCTGGGTCATCCTCATTCTTGGTTTTCTCCCTCATTTTGAAGAAGCGTATCTTCCAATATCGTCCTGAGAAAGAGTGCATGTTTGCCCCTCTATATTCCCTTCGGTAACAACAGGAGTAGAAACCTGCAAACTATGTGTCCCTGGCCCTGTGCCACCTGGCTTCCTGTAAGGCTCTCCCAATGGGTAGCACTGGCCAGATGGGAGGGAGGAGCAAGACAGAAGCCATTTTCCCCCATCTCATGAAGAAGTCTGGCCACCTGAACCAGAGGGATGGAGGCCCCCGGACCCTGGTCGGTGGTGCTGTCGCGGTTCTAACAATGACAAAGGCAGCGAAAGCACCTCCTCGACTTCATGGCTAGAAGAGGCCTGTGGCTCCAGCCAGGAGCAATCGCCGCTTCCCGGTCTTTGTGTAAATACCATACTGTCTCTCCAGCACACCTTTCTCCCTTTTTCTCTGCCAACAGTTTTGTAAACAAGTGTCCGTATTAAATTGCCTCTGCTTGAAATATCTACAGTGGCTTCTGTTTTGCTGATTAAACACAGATTGATATTCTAGTTGGACCGTGAGTAGATGACACCCAGGAAATAGATGCCCAAATATGGGAATCTGTGGTTTGTTAAATGATATGATTGGGGTTGAAGACATCGATGACATTATTGTCAGGGGAAAGTGGGATACGGATAGTATCTATCTGTCCAGTGGCAAAACAAGTTACTTAAATTAGGGCTGTCATTATCTGAAACGAAGTACCTAGTCAAAGCAAGACTTTGGAAGGCCAAGGGACGGTTGACTTCGATCACTACAGTGGCAATTGTGACCAGGAAAGTTCTGGGGCAGGGCTGGCTGCTTCTGACTCCACGGGAGAAATTACACATACACACAAAATTTAGGGCTTTAAAATATCAAGTTGTGGCTTTGTTGGAAAAGTTGAGAGCTCCCTCTAATGGTGTTAAAAGAAATTCTTGAGCTTGATGGAGGCAAGGCTGATACCACTGAAAAGTAGACCCAAAATTTGATCCTACAAGTTCCAGAATTACATCATAGGTTGAATTCACAGCCTAGCCATTTCTCTCAAATGAAAGTTACACAGTAAGTGGGAAGCAGTGGATTCCTGAGAACTAGAATGGAGACACTGGGTGAAATCAAATGAATCTGAAAATCTTGACCCTTCAAGTCCCCTGAAACTCCTTGGCCAAAAGAAGCAGCTTCTCTCTTCCTTTGTGAAAAAAATAATCCTCCCTTGCTTGAACATGTGGGGGATTGGAATTGGCCATCCCAAGATATGTCTCTTTGGCATGAGGATTATTTTGGTCTGATTGCTTTTAAAAACTGCAGAAGTGAGAGAAAATCTGGTAGGTAGAAGTTACCTTTTGTAACAGACATTTACACTTGTAAGGGAAATCTCCATCTGTAAAGGTGTCTCCCTCTCTGTACCAGGAAGAGGGGGATGACCTTATCTCTAGAAACTCATCAATGTGGAAGGCAAGGACTTAAATCTGCATAACAACCTTACTCTTGTTTACTGTGCTTTTCTGGTTATCCCCCATAACTGACTCCCCCCACCCCCAACATCCTCCTTTGTAGCTGAAGGTGGTAATTAAGATGAGAACCTCCACCATTTTGGTGAGTTGCTCCGTTTTCCTGAGTCTCTCCCACGTATATAGGTTATAAAGCTTTGTTTAATTTTCTCCTATTATTCTGTCTCATGTCAATTTAATTCGTAGTCCAGCCAGAAGGACCTAGAGGGTAGAGGAAATGTCTTCCTCCCCTACAAACACTTTTAATAACCTCATCTTACATAGCAACCTTAAGAGGTGATACCAGTACACCTCCCCCCCCCCCCCCATTATTGACCCCAGATATGCCTAGAGTAGATTCCAGCACAGCTCGAGGGGAGAAGTAAAATTCCATCTCTGTAAGCCTGAAGGAACGTAGGAATAAAATAATTATTAAGAGCACAGAGAAGGCAATACTATTAACCTTCTAAAAGCTGCATTTCTTTTTCTGTGTGCCTGGAATTAAACACCATTTTTTGTAGGCAGGCAACAAGCAAGTAGTCAGATTAAAAGGTGGCAATCTGGAAAGAAGACAGTGAACATTTATGGAGCACGTTTGTGCGTGGGCCATGCTCAGTGCTCTGTGGACGTGACCTCCTTGTGGATCCCTCCCTACAGCCCCAAGGTGGCTGGGCTGCCCATCTCCTGGGAGCCAGAGGCCTCAGGATGTGTTCAGGGTGTGGTGATCCCAGCAGGCCCCAACCCTCTCAAGAAAAAGAAAGGGGCTGGCCACGCAGACTCTGAGAGGTGACTTGTGACTGGAAGGGCCGCAGACCACTCTCTTGATATTGTTCAAAACATGCCCAGTAGAATGCCTGTTCCCTAGGGCCCCATTTCTCAAAAAGAATGTTAATTTAATCCAAAACAAAAAAAAAATGTGTTTATTTGTCTTTAATGAGGAACAAAGATCTTTTCTTCAAATATGGGTCTCCTGGGAGGAATTCTTTGTGCTCTTTGCTGCATCAACCACGTTCCTAATGCATTGTTTATTTTGTAATTATGGTTTCTTTAAAGCAGAGCCAGAACTCAAAATACTTGGAAACAACCTGAATCCAAAATCTCAGACTTTTACAGAAGTTTTTATTTTACATTTGACTTGCCCTCATTTAGACAACGTTCTTCGTGACTGATTTTTATTGGATATCAAGAAAGCATTTAATTTACATTAATTAAATTACAATACAAATGCAACTCATTTTTACATTCATATTTCATCGAGTTACATAGTGTCATCAAATTAGGTAATTACAGTACCAAGTTCAAGGAGAAGAAACAGATTTGGGAACAAAGCTGACTGACTCTTGGTCTGCCTGTAACTCAACTAGTAGATGCAGATGGCGAGCACACTAGAATGTGGCCACCTAGCAGGAGCTGAGGGTCCGTCAGCTGGTTTTACAGAAGGAAGGTGTACTGGTCAGGGTTCTCCAGAAAAACAGAAGCAATAGGAGATAAATACACACGAAAGGAAATTTTGGCTTACACGGTTATGACAGCTGAGAAGTCCCACAGTCTGCTGTCTGCAAGCTAGAGACCCGGGAAAGCCAGTGGTGTCCTTCAGTCCAAGTCTGAAGTCCTGAGAATCAGGGGCACTGATGCTGTGACTCCTAATCCAAGAGCAGAATACAGATGTCCCAGCTCAACAGGAAGACAGGAAGGGAGGGTGGCAGCCGTGGAATGAATCCTCCCTTCCTCTGTTTCTTGTTCCATTAGGGTCCTCAACGGATTGGATGATGCCCACCTACACTGGGGAGCGGGGCATCTACTTTACCGAGACCATCAATTCAAATGCTAATCGCATCCGGAAACACCCTCAAGACGTGTCCAGAAATTATGTTGAATCTGGGCACCCGGGGGCCCAGAGAAGTTGACACGTGAAATTAACCGTTGCAGAGAGGGAATCCTGCGCGTCAAGTTAGGGAGAGGCTGATTTTGTGAGCCTCTCCTGAACCCGATGCTGATGTTTTCAACAAAAAATGGACTTTTCTTTATTTCTCTCATGCAAGCCTCAATGAATAGGACTGTGTGTATAAAACACCACCTTGACTTTGCCCCAAGAATTTGAATTCTCTTCCCGTTTCCTTGTTTGGCAGATCCTAGCACAAGATCCATGATTAACAAGGACGCTGAAACTTTGAACCTGAGTGAGCCCTATTAAGTTCTGGAATCAGAAGTGACTTGGGTTCGGGCTGACCCCGTGGCCCAGTGGCTAAGTTTGTGTGCTCTGCTTCGGTGGCCCAGAGTTTCACCGGTTTGGATCCTGGGCGCAGACATGGCACCACTCATCAGGCCACACTGAGGCGGCGTCCCACATGCCACAGCCAGAAGGACCTACAGCTGGAATATACAACTATAATATACAACTATGGGGGCTTTGAGGAGAGGAAGAAGAAGAAGGAAAAAACAAAAAGATTGGCAACAGATGTTAGCTCAGGTGCCAATCTTTAAAAAAAAAGTAAAAGTGACTTGGCAAAGACGTCCTTTCCAAAACAGTCTGATTCCACTTTATGTTATCAGACAAATGGGTCTTGAGCTCAAGTTTACATTTAGATGTCTCTGGCAACAATTTCTTCAAGGCAGGAAGATGCGGAGGAAGAGATGTACTCACCCCTCACCTCTCCAGCTGCTGTCATTTTCAGGTTTGTGTGACGTCAACGTTCCCTCACTCTCCGTCTCCCTTGCCTAGACTAGGGTATAACAAATCTTGTGCCACGAATGTTTGTCCTCAAGCATAGAGCACACAAGGACACCACCGCTATCAGGACTGGTCCTGGCAAAACTGAGGCCTGCAACTTCCGGGTTCCCTTGTCCCTAGGCTGCCTCCCCTCGCTCCCCACGCCTACCCGGCTTGGCTAATCCAGGGCCCTTTGATGCCAAGCAATCTCCCTTCTGGGCCCTAATTGAAAGATATGTGCTCCATGACCCTGAATCTTAGGACTGTGGAGCACCATGTGGGGGC